TGCTGGCCCTGGTGGTGAGGACAGGAGAACTGACCGACTCTGCAACTGCCCAGACTCAGAACCAGGGTTGTGACTTGGCCCACCCCAACATCCACCCTATCTATGATCTGCTCACATGAAGAGACCAGTCCTGCAGACTCAAATCTGCAGGATCTCCATAACACAGGGCAACAATGGGATAGCCAACAGGAGTTGAGGGTCCAGCATCCACAGAGTAGCAGAAACCAGAGGCCTCGAACCAGATAATGACTCTTTGCAATGAACACTTGCCAGTTAAAATATATGGACAAAGGGGTTTACTGCATGACTGTGTCATACTGCATCTTCCATGATGACATTTTAAAGTTTTCCTTTTTTTCTTTTTTCTCTGAAATGTTATTTTATCTGGGGGGGTTTGCAGGGGCAGAGGGCAGATGGGAAGGGACAGGAGATGAATGGGATCAAGATACATGATGTGTAAGACACACAGAATGAATAAAAGGAAGTTTTAAAAAACTGCTCTCTCTGTGGGGGCTGACATGGTTGTTCCACATCATTAGGGACTCGGGCTCCTTCCGTCGCTGTGAGCATCTCTTCATGCTCCAAACTGCTGCTGGAGAGCCAGGCATTGAGTCAGCAGCACGGGCAATTGGAAAGGGGGAAGAAGCAGAGTTGTGCACTACCTCTCTAAGATGTCTTAGAAGTCCTGATAAGGCTCACTTTTTGTTAGCCAAAACTTAAATACAGAGCAGCATTCATCCAGAAGTCAGGCTGGAGATGCACTTTTCTAGTAAGGGCATAGACATTTTAATAAAATTGGGATTCTGTTACTAAGGGAGATAAGAGAGCGGGTGTTGAACCAAGCAGTTAACAGCCTCTTTGAAACGTACCAAAAGAAACAGCCACAGGGAGGTTTAACCCCAGACAAAGAGTCTGGCAAATCCTAGGACATTTGTATTTTGCTTCAGACCCTTCCTTTTTTCCTTCATCCCAAAGTCTCTTTCTGGGAGACTGACTGGACTTTGGTATGAGAGTCCTCTTTCCTACATTATACTATAGGACCTCACATCCTAGCAAAACCAACCCCTATATCATCTGCCCCTGAGGCTCCGCCCTCTCCATTCAGACACGCCCTCTAAGACCAAGGATTTTTTTCTCTTAGAACTAGGTTTAGATCCAAGAAATGACTTCTTTTCATGCTAGGCTCTACATACCATGTCTCCTTCCATATATCCAGGGCAGAAAAAAAATATTACACAAGGGATATCTCGGTCCATTTATGGTGGTCACATATTTTTAAAATCAAGAAAACTTTGAACATCCTGTCATCAATAATTAATGTCTCTGGTATTCATCATACTTATCTCATTGTTAAAAGACAGAATGTTGAAGAAAAATCTAAAACCCAATATGAATACTTAGAGCTGAGTTTAAGTAAATCTAATTCTGATTAACCCCTGGAGCTTGTTCTCACCTTCCATTAAATAACACTCCTTTCTCTGGAAATCTATAAATACATTTTGGTTGGGGGGAAAGTAAGTCCTTGGTCTATTCTATCCAAGTCCAAAAGAAGAATGAGCCTACATAGTTGTGCATGCCTGTAATGCTAGCACTTAAGAGGTAGAGGCTGGGATATTGCACATTCAAGGTCAGCCTGGAGGACAGGAGAGTTCAAAGCCTGCCTGATACACACCTGTGTTTCACTGAATTTGTTCATCTGTTCCCTTTTTCCTTCTTTCCCCCAAAACTAAACAATGGTCTTCTGAGCTAAGGAAAACAATGGATAAGTGAATTGGAACAAAGACAGGTAATTGGGTCCTAGTGAGAGACATAAGATGAGACAAATGTGGAAGAAAACAATGGATCCTAACAAAAGCTCAGTAGTTTGATCTAAGAGTCTAGATTCTATAATATCTTCAAGGCAAAGCATGGAATTTGGTTAGGGCAACTGTGAGAGGAGGGGCTCAGAGACGATCTATGTGTATGTGCATCAAAATCATAGATGATGATCCTCTAAGAGTGAGAGTACCAACTGACTCAAAGCCTGTGGGAAAGGAAGGTATAGAGTAGATACACTGTTGCAGGACAAAGATACTAGAGCACAAGCTAGCCTATGGCCATGGATAGAAGCTCCCCATGGTTTCAAGATTGAGAATCTAGGCACACTCTAAAAAGACTTTAAAGGGGTTTTGAAACAACCTGATTTGGTTTTTACCTGATAACAAATAACTAAAACTGTTTCTGTTATGTTAATTGAGTGTTTATATGTGTGTGTGCTCTGAGTGTGGAAATCAGAGGACAACTTCTGGTAGTTCAGGTCTCACCTTCCACTTGTTAAGTGGGGTTTCTCTTGTTTCCACCATGTAGCATACTCCAGGCTAGCTGGCCCAGAAACTTCCAGCCAACCCTCCTGCCTCTGCCTCCCACCTAACCATAGAATTCTGGGATTGCAGATGCATGCTGCTATATCCAGCTTTTTTCTTTCTTAACATGGATCCCAGGGATTAAACTCCAGTCATCAGGCTTGCATGGCAACTGCTTTTGCCCATCAGTCTATCTCCATGGGTCTCTAAGTTTTTGTTTAGACTATTAATCTTTCTTTTCCTGGGCACAGCTGTCATCAAGAAATATACTGTTTGAAAAACAGATGGCAAGACTTTGAAAATGAGAGAACAGTTCCCGGAGTGAATGAGACAGAAAAGGCATGAAGAAGCAATGGACTCAACAGAGATCCAAGAGACAAAGATATGAAGCCAGGGGCTTGAGAACAGATGACATTAATGAAGTCTTGAGCCCCAAAGAGGGGTAATCAGGGATCTGATAGACTATCGTATCCCCTCTGGGATGAGCTTCCTTCTGCAAAATGCTTGTCAGTCATCCTCCTAAAAGAGCATTGTGCTGGTTGCAGATGATAATTTATGAAGTATGGAACCTGTTTCTCATCTATCTGGTATTACTATCAAGTACCTCTAAAATGTATCACACAACCCTTCTCTCTTTTTCAACTGTAAGCTCTTCCAAATTGCCCCCCCACCATTATTGCTAATGACTCACAGGAGTCCTGTGTCTTCTTAGTGGGACCAAACCCTCTTATTGTTTCCTCTTTCTTTTTGCTTGCTACTGTCCACTCGAAGTCAGTTATTTTCCCTCTGATTTGCCTTCCTTGCTACAGTCCATTAATTTTCATGAGGATAATAGAACAGAGATCTTCTGATTTTCCTTGGAAACCATCACAGTCTAGAAAATTATTTTTGTGGTTTTTATTTTTTGCCTTTTAGACAAGATTCTATTTGAGAATCATCTCCTGATAGACCCAGTGGACATTCCTGAAGAGGAATGTTGTTCTCAAGGTCATATTTTTAGTGTGGGATACTCAGACTGAGTTTATAGTTCTTACCAAATAAAGACGTTTGGCAAGGTAGAACAGCAAAGGGAAATTGAGAGCTATGACAGACCATGAAGGTCACTTACTGCAGCCCCTTCATCTCCAGAGGCAGAGATGAGGGCTCAAAGAGACGAGACCATCCCATGGGACATAATACACATGATTTTGAACCAGGTTTCAAAGCATTGGTAGCTCAGAGCCCTGTTGATTATTCTTTGATGTCGAGTTACTTTTAATCTTTTTGACTTGCCTAGTATGGAAATTATTTGTGATGTTCACCAATATTCCCTTTGGAGAACAAAGGAAGTTAGATATGATCATGTCATTTGTTTGAACCAATATAATGTGAGCAGAAGTAGAATGTTTCACTTCCTCTTTATGAACAGGTATGTACTTCACCAAGACCCTGGCTGTTGTCATGGCAACAGACCACTAGATAATACAGGTTCCACTAGCTGAGGACAATAAGGAGCTGAGTAACGACTGTGTGAGGCCAAGCTCCAGTTGGTTCACAAAGGACATGTAGACTGAGTGAAAAGTAATCCTTCCTAGTTTTAAGCTGCTAGGATTTGGAGCTTGTTAGTGTGAAATCACCCAACCTAGCCCTACCAGGTAAGACTGAGTGATGTCATCATTCCCATGATGCACCTCTGTGCATAAAGATGTAAGTGGGCCTAGAATGCAGAAAATCAGAATGTAACTCCATGAAACATTCCAAACTCCACTCATCACAACCATTCTTTCTTCTTGGCTTATATTAGGGATGGGGGATGTAGCTTACTACAAAGAATGAGTATTTGGTGGCTTCTCATTCTTGGAACCATTCTGCAGGTAGGTGCTTAAAGGAAATTCCCTCTAGTATTACAGTTAAGAACATAAGGAGTTAGATTATTTTAGTAAGTTCAGTGCATTGTGACCTCAACTGCATCATCCTATAGTTACATACCATTACCTGTGCGGCCATCTTTAGCTTCACTGGAAGCTTTTTAATCTAGATAATTCTTAACACTTTACAAGATTTCTAACTTTATAATCCCCACCAAGGCAAATAGATGCTTTTTTAAAAAATCACATCATTAGACATTTCAAATTCATAGTGATAAAATGAGTGGGCAAGTTTCATGGAGTAGGTAATAGAGCTTGTGTGACCTTGGGTAAGCCACTTAGCCTCTCTGGGCATCAGTTTCCTCCTCTGTATGATGGGGATAGTAGTAGTTCTTGCCCCCCCCCAGTTATTATGGAAATAGGTCATGTACAACCTGTCTAGTTATTTAAAAAGCTAAGCCTTAACTGTATGTGATGCTCAGAATATTTAGAAGTCTAGAAAGGAAGTTTAACTCAGAACTTTTTCTTCCCTAGAAGAGTGAATTCAGAAACTTTTTAGTCCACCACATATTGATTTTCTGGGAAAGATGTAAATCTATTGTCCTGCCTCCCTCACAGAGGTTTTAAGGCACGTGAAAACACAAACAGATGGGTAGGAAAGTCGGTGTTGTTAACAGTTTAGGAGATTTTTCCAACTCCCCTGCTGAGGGCATAGATCCAGCTGGGAAAATCTTTAAAGGGCTGGACTCGTTTATACTTTTTCCATCTTAAACACTTGGACTTTTTCAGGTTTATAACAAAGCTCACAAAAATGCTAAAGCTTAAAGGAGAATTTCGAGCTGCCAAGGGACTGAAAGAAGAGGTAAGGCTCCCAACTTCCTACATATGTGAAGGTAAACCTTTGTTGAAAGGGATTTCTTTCAAGCCCCATGCCTCCACATTCCAGGTATACCCATCATAAAATACCATGGACAGAGCAAGCCACAGACCATAGATTTAAGAGCCCAGATGTAAGCCCCAGGTCCACATCTAACAGCAGAGTGGCCTGGGCCATGCTGCCCACTCTCTCTGAGCCTCCTTTGCCTGGCCTCAGAAGTATACATGTTGAGAATGTATTTCAAATGCTTGCCAGGTAGATTATCAGGCAATGGGTGTAAAAGCACCTAATAGACATTTTCTATAGTTTGCCAACATTTCTTTTATCTAGCAGGATATAGAAATGGAGTTTTCTGCTTTGTACAACTAAGAATTGGCCAAATTCTATGTATGTATTCCTTCATTGTTCCACAAAGGATGGAAAAGGTCCATTGGGATAAGTGTAGAGATGTCTTACGTTGGCATGTGCTTCTGCCAAGAAATAAGCTGCTCCTAAAACAAACATTTCTGCGGCTCTCCTGCTGGGTTACTACTGCCATGTGGAACTTGCTGCTAGTTCTGCTGGGAACAAGGATCTGGTATGAATTTCTAGGATTTTTTTTTAATTTAACATATGTCTTCGGAACACCTTCAATGTGCCAGGCATTGCTCTAGGAGCTGGAAGATTGAAAAGCAAATGAAATAGAGATCCCTGTTCTCCTGGAGCCTGCCCTCTAGCAGAATAGCCCCTCAGGACATGATGGCCCAAAGTATGAAGGATCTACTGAAGTGCCAACAAAAAGCAGCTCACATTGCACAGTAGCCAGTCTCTGCCATATACCATGTGCATCCTAAAGAACCTACCTGCAAGTGTGCCGGTGTCACCAGATTTGGAGCAGTTCCAGGTCTCTATTATTTGCTATGTGAGCAGAGATGTTTCTAAAATTTGTGCTCACAAGGCAAAACTTTCTATAATTCCCACCAAAAGTAATGCAAAAACTGCAGTGTTTCTATAAAAGTAAACCTGGACCGATAGTCATCAATGTCAGTATAAATGTTTGTAATTACTGTTAATAAGTGTAAACTCAATTATCACAAGTAAAATGTAAAAATTCCTGAGGCAACATTAGTTTTTAAGGCTTTTTGATTTTGTAAAATCTTATTACATTTATCTATTTATAGGGGTGAGGTAGAGGTCAGAAAACAACTTCCACCACGTGGGTCCCTGTTCTTAAACTCAGCTAATGAGGTTTGGTGGCCATCATTGTAATCTGCCAAGACTTCTCACCAGCCCCAAGCTTTCTGCTTCCTAAAGCATAACTCTCACTGTAAATTGTTATCTATCCAGTGGCTGTAGCATTGGTGATGGTTAAAAGTGGTTTTCCATTATTTATTGAAGATTTATCTTCATTCTCGGACAAATAATTTCCCCAGAGATGATCACCTGAGTCACCATTTGACTCCAAAGTCACCTTCGGAACTGCAACTCCAATTTTTCAAAGCCTTCAAGTCCCCAAACCCTAAGAATGCCACCATTTTGAATGATATTATCCCTCAAGTGCTGCTGAGTCATAAGCTTAAGTTTGGACCCAGCTCTACCTGAGAATAAGCATGAAACTATTCGTCAGTCCTTTAAAACTCAGAGCACAATGTCATCCCCATCTTGAAATATGTGTTTCAGGAGGCATGCTCTTTGACAAGAGGCTCATTTCATCAATACAGAATTCACTCTCATTAAATAGCATATTTTCCATGACCATGGACGAAACTGTAGTATTAGCGCTTACTGTTTTGCCTGTGGGTCAGTAGCTCAGTCAACATCATGTGCTTCTGGACAGGGTAGCCAGGTTGGAATCTCGTATAAGTAAAACTGGGTATCTGAGTCCACAGCTTATGGAGACAAAACCTCACCTAGCAGCAGAGGTTTGTTGTTTCAATCATGACTAACAACTTCAGATCAGGATGGCGTCAGATGGTGCCCAAGGATCAACACTACAATAGTTGGTCCATCTCCCGCCCCTAGTACTGCTTACAGAGCTGTGATTGGTGAAATGTCAGAGTAAATCTATACCTAATGCACATTGATACTTTAAGGGCATCTGCCTGGAATTCATTCTCCATAAATTACATACAATTATAAATAGTTCACAGCTAATGTCTTGTACAAGGTATTAGAAAAAAAATTAGCTCTACTAAGGACCCAAGAAAACTCGCCTTTCTTAAGTTTCTGAGAACAGCCTCTTACAATGAACTGCATTAAAAATGGGTGCTAGGGAGTGTCTCATTGCTCCCCATATGCCTTCACTCCTGTTCTGATACCTCAAGACCTCAATGATCTGCTGTATAGGAATGAATGGTTACATGTTTATTTTAGAAGCAAATTTCATCTGACATCTAGCAAAACACATTTGTTATGCAACTGGTCTAAGGAAACTTCAAAGGAAGATGATTTTATCCCAAACCTATTGTTTTATGAATGAAGACATTTCCTTAGAGACTCCAAGCTGATCCTAAATATCTATATTAGATGATGTTGAAGGCCCAGCTCTTAAGTCCTGGTGGTGGAAAAGAATGGGGTAACAGTAGGCTTTCCACCCAGAGGATAGTCCAACCTGGAGAGAGCAGATATTTTCACTAGCTTGAGAGAGTGCATTTGATAGGTAACTTGGGGCAGCTTAAGTTGTGCCTCATTGGCTTTGTAGTAATGAGCGCTCGGTGGGTGTGGCTCCATTCCAAACAACCCTAGAATATGGTCCTCACCTTAAGACAAAATCAGCATCAAGACAAGAGTGCAGAGCATTCTCAGACTCCTTTAGGGCAAGCATGGCATTGTCACCCAATTCACAGATGACACAAATGATTATGTATCCAGAGAGGAGGGGACCCTGAATGTCATGGGTTTCCACACCATCCCTTGTACTACAACCACAAGAAAAGGGCATCTAAAGTGCTAGGGTGAAGCAGCGGCTCCCTGTTGGGACCATGGATTTTGTTTTCAAGTTAGAAAACAGTTTCTGCATGCCAATTCTTTAAACCACTCTACACACATTCTCTTAAGAGAGTCCCTGGTAATTGTCTTAATGGTAATTACATGCTGGGGGCAGTTGACATCCACTGTTATTTTTCTGAAAGTGAGGAGTGAGGGACAGGAGCTAGGAAGGAGGAGGGAGAGTTTGAGATAATGAAATCCTTTTAATGACAGAGCCATGCCGTTAACCTAATTAAACTGTAAAGTGGGGGGGAAACCTGCAGGTACTAAATGGAAATGAAGAAGTGAATCAGCTGAGGCAGCAGTACTTCTGGGAACCATCTGGATTCCGGGTACTCTGACACTGTGGTTCCGGTTCCCACACTGTCCTCTGGCCCACCTTAGCCTTGCCTAAAGGTCTCCTAAACGGACCTGTCCACTGATGCCTGATTTACTATGTCTATCCATCTCAGGTCTCTAGTTCCCATGGGAGTGTGTGTTGTGTAGCTCATGTATTTCAGAAGCCAAGTCAGTATGGGAGGGTGGCAGAACCCTGGCTCCACGGTTAAGAAGACCATGATCCCTCCTCCTAACCAGATGTGAGGCTTTGAAAAGTCAGCTCAGATTCCTGCACCATTACTGTGTGTCCTGCTCTGTATTCCTCTTAAAATGGTTGCTTTAAGGTCACTGAGGTCACTTTCACCAGAAGGCTGGAAGTGCTTGGGAGCTCACATCCCATGGTGCCGTCATGGCCACTACATCACTGTATGAAGTTTGACAACTCAACTCTTATTCCCACTAATCAAGATCGACTCTGAGATGTCATTACACTCTGCAGTCTCCTGTAGGATCAGGCTAAAGTTACCCAGAGGCCTTTGTGTAAAAGTAGCCCTTCCTAGCCAGTTTGCTGGTTCACTTGGGAGAGTTTCTCTCCTTCTTTCTTCCTTCCTCGTGAACATGATGAAGAGCACAGTGACAGAATGAAGCCCTGCAGAGGTTCAGAGTGCTGCCTGCTAAATTCTTCTCACATTACCGCCACCCACACTGGAAAATGGTATCATGAGGTGATAGAGAGCCCACCCACTTGCCATCGCTCTGCACCCAGCCCCCTCCCCACCCAAGTTGCTACTCTCTACACATTTTGTTTTGATCTCAGTCACTACTTTCCATTCTGGCCTAGCAACAATTAGCTAACCCTTCTAACTCCTAATCAAAGACAGGGATCTTACTGATCAGGCCAGGCCTTTCTCTTGTGGTCCCAATGGTGAAGCCTTGTTAAGAAAAGCACTAGGTTAATAGTCAAGGGGAGGGAGTAGTTAACGGATAAAGAGAAAGTTAAGAGACTTCAGAATCCCTCATCAACTCTATCACTGATACAATGTAGTCTTGACAAGTTCATTTGACATCTCGATATGTTTATTTCATCAGTGGCAGAACCATTAATATTTATAGACAGTTCTCTGGGTGCCTGGAATCATTCTAGGCACTGACTTCCTCCTGAAAAAAACAGGGGAATTGTCTGATGCACCCACAGCGGCATGGCGAAGATTAATTAATATAAATAAGTAATTGTCTGAATAATGCAAGGCACTCAGACACCTCACAAATGGATCCTGTGTAAATGTTACCTAAGATGAGTAACAACAGCAGAGGTGCAATGAATGAATTTCCAGCAAATTCAGCTGCTCTGTCAACCTGTTCAGTGAAGGAAAGCAAGTGTTTTCTCAATCATTCATAATTGATGCTTTTGTTTTTCTGGCTGCCTAGGCCGGGGAGAGAGACAGAGACGTGAACAAACTGAACAGCAAACTCTTGAGCCTGCAAATGGATATCAAGAATCTCCATGATGTCTGCAAGAGACAGGGGAAGACCTTGCAAGAGAACCAGCTATGTGTGGAGGAAGTCATGATGAATAACAACCACGTAAGGCACAGCACCGCCAACAGGCAGCAGCTGCCTGCCTCGGGCCCCTGACTACCATAGCTTCTTTTGATGGGATAAAAAAGAAAGTTCTACCGTGGGTTACTCAGAGTACTAACTGAGCACACATACTCTGGCACAGAAGAAATTATTCCTATCTTTGGGATTTTTCAATCTAGCTATTTCCAGCATTATTGAGATATAAAATAGTATCTCTTTCCTTATCTGGATTTAGCTTGTCTTGAAAATACTAGATCATGGCGATTGATATAAGGACGGGTCTTAGGCAAATTTCCAAGTATTAGCCATGGCAATGAGAGCCTCTGTGCTTGCTCTGAGGTATCTCTGCGCATCAGTTGACAGGTGTTCTGATGTGCCTCACTGCCTGGGAGCTGTTCTTCTGAGGGCTGGAATCCAGTCACTCAAAAAGCAACCGCCAGAGGGTCCTCAACCAATAATAAATAGGGAGAAGATTAATCAAACAACTACATCCCTTTCCCCCTTAGTGCAAGTTAACTCTAGGCTGGTTCTTTGCTCTCTCTCAATGGGACTGAACCCAGTGGACCAGTCATAACAAGCTTAACCTGCTTCTCTCCCTTGTCTCAATCCCTAATGTGGCTGAAATTTCTATAACCAACCTCCCACATAAACTACTTGACACTCAGTGCCTTGGTACAGGGCCTGACTTCACAGCCCAAGCAAGTCACTTGGCAACCCATACCATATTGGAGCAGCCCTCATGGCATGCTAGTCTTTCTCAAGACTGACTTTGAATTAACACTAACCTATAGGTCTAGACAGTTCACCAACTGAGCAATTTCACTTCAACCTGAGATTCTCTTCCTCTTAGAAAACTTTAAACCTGAAGTGTTTAAACCAGTCTCTAAATATATTGACACAAACTGGGGGACCAGATGGAATGATTTCTGAGAATTCCTTACTGTGGTTGCTTTTTCTGTTTATAAACTGAGTTCCATGTAAACATAGTTACTTGTTGCACAAGCCCTTTCTGAATCCCTGGGTTAGACCCTCGGCTGCTGTGTAGGTAGCCATGTGTTCCTGGTGCTCAGGGACCTGGTCTCTCCTCATTGTATCAGTTAGCATGCTCCCAGAACTCACCACTTCCCAATATAAACCACACGTTGTTCCCTGAAGCTGCCTGAATATGCTACCAGCAACGCAATTCTACCACATCTTATTGACCTTTCCACCCTTCCTCAGGAAGTCACAAAAAGACAAAAAAAAAAAAAAAATCCACTGGTTTTCCTAAATCAATCTCAGGATGATGATCACAATTTATTCCTTTCTAAATATTAACATTTTAGAATATTTCCACTACAGCTATCATGAATTTACTTATCACCCCAGTCAGAGAAAGCCAAACGGTTTATAAATGTATCTGGAAACTTGGAGGGAGAAAGGCATTAAATTGCATTTTATTATTCTAATTGCCCAGAAGAAGGTCTAACAGCTTGAGACAAGCTTTTAAAACAAGCCCCTTTTTTTCCTAGCACTTAGTGCAAAATTTAAATTGCAGACTACGCATACAAATACACAATTACATGGAGACCTACACTCCTCTCCTCAAATCCCCTTTAAGACCTGCCTTCCGCTGGAAATGTACTGTGTTGACAAAGGAAAAACACTGGGCTTTCTGGGATTTTGACTAATACTGATGAGGAGCTGAGGAAGCAAGCAGGAGGTCATGATTCAGGACCATACTTAGGGGAGAAGAGTAAAATATTATACAGATGTTATGGGCAACAAAAGAAACAGAAAGAGGGGAAGATGGGTGATGGAAGGGAAAGTGCATGACCCTGTAAATCAGAGAGTACAGACTCCAAAGCCCAGGAGCACAACAGAGGTTGTGGCAAAGAGAATGATGTTCTGGGACTGGAGAGATGACTCAGCCATCAAGAGCGTGCTGCTCTTGCAGAAGACCAAGTTGACTCCCACTGCTAGGCAGCTCACACCTCTTACAACTCTAGTTCCAGGGTCCCTGACGTCCTTTTCTTACCCCCATGTGTATTTCATTCATCTGCATAAGCACACTCAGACACACAAACACATGTAATTACAATTTAAAGATTTATTTATTGATTATGTATACAGTATTTGCTTGCATATATCTTTGCAGGCCAGAGGAAGGCACCAGATCTCATAATGGATGGTTGTGAGCCACAATGTGGTTGCTGGGAATTGAACTCAGAACCTCTGGAAGAGCAGGCAGTGCTCTTAACCTCTGGGCCATCTCTCCAGCCCTCATAATTACAATTTAAAATAAAATCTTTTGTGGGGTGAGACAGGGTTTCTCTGTGTAACAGCCCTAGCTGTCCTGGAACTTGCTATGTAGACCAAGCTGACCTCGAACTCACAGAGATCCTCCTGACTCTGACTCTTGAGTGCTGGGATTAAAAGTGTGTGCCACCATGCATGGAATATATTCTTTTTTTAAGATAGGGAATTGTTTCAAAGTAGGGTACCCAGGGAGCAGAGCTTACAGGCCTTTCACCCTTTGGGTACCAGCCTGCACTTGCCTGACCCTGAGACTGAATAACTCCTTCAGTGTGTGCCTTACCCGCCCCCTCCCGCTAGTCAGAATGACTCAGGGTGAAAGGAGAAGAAGATCAACAAAGATATAAAAATGACATTATGACCAAAGACTGGGTGTTGTGGTACACACCTGAAATCCCAGAGCTAGGCAGCTTGAAACAAGGGAATTACCAGCTTATACCATCCTGGCCTATGTCGAAAAATCTAGACTAGCCTTCCCTAAAACAAGTCAGAAACTGGAGAGATGGCTCTGTAGGTAAAGTGCCTGATGCACAAGCATGGGAACCTGTGTTTGAATCGTCAGGACTCATAAAGAGTGGCATCTGAAAAGTATTCATATAAAACACTGGGGCCATGCATGCCTATAATCTCGGCACTGGGGAGCTGGAGGCAGAGCGAGCCCTGGGCCTTGCCAGTCAGCCAGTCAAACTGAATAGGAAAGAAAGCTACACATTATTGCAAGACTGTTTATCCAAAAATAAGGTGGGAGGCAACTGAGGAAGATGTGTGACATCAACTTCTAGCCTCCACACAGATGCACAAACTACTCAGAAACACACACGCACACACACACACACACACACACACACACACACACACACACAGCCGAAACCAAATAAATAACATTAAATCAGAAAAGGGAGAGCCTTTATAGCAATTGACCCAGGTTTTATGCATTGCTGGGGGCATGGGGACCATACCTATGAACTGGAACTCATGTCATTGAACTAACCTGGGAGATGTATGGAGGGCACCATTTTTAGTATAAAGGTATACCTTCATCTTTCAAGCGAAGGTAATTAGTTGAATATCTAAAGATAAGTAGAAGCCTGGTGAGTATTATCACACTATCATTTTGAACCATTGATAATGAAAGCAATTGTAATGAATTTGCTAAATGCAATGTGTGGTCTTGAATTGGTTCATAGAACAGAAAGTATAACTTAACGGAAAATATGCAAAATTCAAAAACTGTATCTAGTTCCATTCCTAATGATTTACCAACATTAATTTCTTAATTTGGTTACATAAGAAGGCAGCACTGGGACAATGTTAAAGAGGATCCATGAGAAATTTGTCATCTTTTTGGCATTCGTCTAGGATTAGCAAATCGTTCCAAAGTAGCTTTTTAAAAAGTGGATCCCATGTAAGCAGAGATTCGGTGAGAAGAATGTCTAAACCACAAACATTTATTTTAATAAAACGCCTGTTGCTGAATACAACAAAAGGGCACATAGCTTATACATTACATAGGAAGTAATGGACAACCCTCTCTGATGATGTAGAAGGTTAACATGGAGTTCCAAGGAAATATCTCACTCAATGCCTCAAAGATGGGGAAAGACGTTCACGGTAATGACTAGGGAAAGACGGAGGAATTCTAAGTTCTTAAATGAATAAAGAAAACCATCAGGGACACAGTTAACAGAACAATGCCAACCTGTGACAGCAGAACATGCAAGCCTGAAGAGGGAATAAATGGTTAAAAGGGATTTTGAAAAGCCGGCTTTAGGCAAATCAGCAGGGCCTGGTGACATTCTTCTGAGAGTGCTTAAGGAACTGGCAGGTGTTATTACATAGCTGCTAGTGATTATTTTTGAGAACTCAAGAGGATAAAGAAAGTCCCTGTAGACTAAAAAAGGGTAAATGAAGTGCTCATCTTTTTAAAAAGGGAGAAAGGACAATCCTGGTAATTATAGACCTGTCAGCTTCACTTCAATATCAGGGAAAATATAGAACTTAACATCAATCAATTAGCATCAACTTCAAAAAGCACAAAGTATTGGGTGGAAACCAATGTGACTTTTCAAAAAAACGAATCACGCCAGGCCAATTAATTTCCTTCTGTGATCAAGTGGCCTCATAGGCAAAGAAGGAGCAATAGTTATAATATCTTTGGCCACAGTGGGGACAAAAGGTTGACGAAATATGAGAACATATTCCTATGGGCAACCAGAGATCTCCAGCTTTTCATGTGGCTGATACCAGGACAGAAATCTAGCTGAGAAATCTGGTCCACCAGATGGCCTCCAGAGTCTCATCCAACCCTGGACAGTCACCTAGAGAGCCAGTATTACTTCTTGAAAGGCACTTCCAACTTGCTTGTATTTCTTTTCTTTCCAGATTCCAAAACAAAAGTTAAGGAAGAACATAACATCTATATCTTCACTAGGAAAAAAAAAAACACTGAAGAAAAAAGACTGGGACTAGGGAGGTGGGCTACAGTGCGAGCATGAGGATCTGAGTGAAGATGGCCAGCATCTGAGTTAAAGCTGGAGGTGGTGGCACACATCCTGCAAGCCTAGCAATGGGTTAGGAGGAAATGGCAAATCCCTGGAGCTCAGAGCTGGCTTAGTCGAAATGGCAGGCTCCAGATGCTGTAAGAGACCCTGTCTCAAAATACTAAGGTGAAAAATAATTGAGGAAGACACCTGATGTCAACCTCTGGC